AACTATAATTTTTGTTCTGTATTTTATTCCCAATTCATCGAGTTACTCAGAGGAGCTCCAGTTTTATAAATACAGGTTTATAATAGGATTTTATTTTGTATTTATTTCAATTCCTTACTAACTTCCAGGCAACATGTTTATGTTGTTTTTTTATTTGAGATGGAAACAATAAAATGCCCAATAATTAAATTCTCAAGTTAAAATATGGAGTAAAACAGTTTTTATTTTATAATCAGTTATTGTATGTTCCACTTTTGGACAATCATCAATACTTTTAAATGAGACTAGTACCCATGGTAAGACAAAATGCCCAAAGGGGTACAAGTCAAAATGTTTGGGAATCGGTGAAGAGGAATGCAGATAAGGAAGAATTAGACAAAACAGTACTGATGAATGAGGAAGTGAGGGGGAATGATTGAGATTGGTTAAAGAAAGCTAAAGATGGTTGCTGTGTTGAGGGCAGAGATTAATGAAGGAATATCAGGATATAAAGCGGGAGCTCCCAAAATATTAATGCAACAGCCGTTGACCCCCTACGAAGCAATATAATTGCTTCTCTCTATATTTATTTATAGATATATATTATATTCTTTTTTTTAATTTTAAATGACATTTCATTGTTTGATGTATTTTCTATTCTTTAATTTAATAATTCAATCTAGAGTTGTATAAGTAAATGATATATTTGATGTTCAAATTGTGTTTTAAATGAAAAAACAAGATATATCTACATATTTCGTACATACTGCACATTCATATTTATTTGTTTCATGTATATTTTGACCCTCCACTTACCTTAGGGATAACATCATAGTTATTGTGAAATTGTCTCGTGAACCCCTACTTTGGGAAACCCTGATATGAAGAATAAAAGTGTGTAGAGATGCAAGGACTATCAATACAACAAGTTAGAAGGATGAGAAGAAATAGTAATAAATAATCGAGTAAGGAGCAAAGACAGCGATAGGGAAGGAAGAAAAAGATAAACGATGCTGATTAAGCATGCTATCATGGAAAAGGTTTACTAATTGATAAGATTAGTAGATATGAGTGTGGACATTTTCCTGTTCATAGATCTAATGAGGATGATAAAGTCAGTGTGTTGGAAAACTGGTGTTTGGTTCTTCCCCTCCACATTCAGTAAAAATTGATTGTTATGCTACCGGACACTACATATTATAACCTGTTTGCAGACAACTGGCAACAATAGACAGAATGAAACAAGTTTGCCAAACCTCACCTGCTGTAAAACCTTCTCCCTCCTCGCTGTGATAATAATCTGGGCTCCAAAGCGAGCGTAATGATATGCAATTTGTTCACCAATACCTGTACTGGCTCCAGTCACCAACACTCTGGCACCTTTGAGAGATTCTAAGAAAAAAAAAATCAAGAACTTTCAAAATATATATATAACCAATATTAGAAATATTCAGCATTTGTGGCATATATACAGTATATGTATATTCAAGTTCTTCGAAATTTCTACAACAGCGTAACATGTAAGCTCTTATATGCAGTCTACTTTTCGTTGTATAGTTTTGCATGCAAAGAATATATAGGTTATCTCAGTCTACCATAGCTTTTTCATTGGGAATACCTCTTATTTTTATGGGACACTCTAAAAACCATAAACCCAATCAAAGTCCCTCTCTGGTTGTTTCACGCTGATTGGAGCTCAAATGACTCAGTACAAAAGAAATGTCTACCCTGACCTTTAAATGATGCAGTTGCTTAAAAGATTACATGCCACACCCAAAGATATTAACACAGTGCTTTCAACTGTAGTGAAATCAAGTGAATATTTGTGTAAAATCTACTGTACAGTGTGTCTTTCTGGGCCGAATGAATGCTGCATTCTTTCTGTTTATTCCCCTGTGGAAAAGCAGATTATCTGCTGAGACAGTTAAAGATTATTTTGCTAGATATCCCAAAGCACTCATTAAAATCTCATAACCATTATTTTAATGCCTATTTCTTTTTTATCCAGGGCAGAGCAAAAGGCATTTTCAGCATATGATCACCAATACAGTTGAATAATTGTGTTTGCATAGTTCATATGCAAGCCAATAAATAGAACAAGTGTTGATATTGTACATAAAGTTGACAAATGTGACTAATAGTTAAACCATACATTTAAGAACTTCCAAGGGATTTCATTTATGGACTGTAAATCAAACAGCCTTCATATCTAAATCTGTATTTGAGTTTGGAAAAATGTACAATTTGAGAACCTTGGACTATCAATGCATTGGATTTTAGAGCATGCCTGACTGATATTTAAAAATTCAGACAGGATGTGTTTTATTTTTCACAACAGAACCTCATTTAGCAGTATTTGGGTGATGGTGTTCTGCAGTTTTTACGTGTCCCTGTTCCAGCAAATCTACTAAAAGAGGTTCAAAATCTAATATTTAACTGAGGGCTTCCAGATGCACATAAAACAATGCGAATCAGGATCCACCGATGACTGGAGTTTGAGACATTTGGTTTAGATTATAGCCTTTGAGCTAAGAATTTCTTGCAAAACAATAAGGGCGTATGCTACTTTTGCATGCACTCATTTTTTTCTTTGTAATTCACCAGAACAAATCCATCAGTAACAGCTGACTTAATTCATAAAAAAAAAATCTTTTATAGGGTGCACTGTTCTATGGGACCCCCTTGTTTTAAAATCAACACTTGCCATGCAAAATAATTTATCTGTATACAAATAAATGATTAAAACAGGGTTGTAAATACACTTCTAATATATTTTCAGTGCTGTATAATATTTTAGGCGTAATACTATTTTTTAACTCACCATTTCATTTCTACAGCTCAATGTTATGTTTTGGAAATTTATATAATTCACCTAAAATATGTCATGGCACATTTGAAGACTACTTTTAGGGTGCTGTGTCCATTATATAGAGTAATTTATTAAACAGTATGGTTTGCATTTTGTAAAAGACACAATGGATAAACATACTGAATTCAAATTTCTATGCTTCAGTTTTTCAGTCATAAATAAAAACAGCGCCTATACCTTAATCATTAACTTTAGATAAATATTTGGAAGGATTCTTTATGCACTAGGTCATGGTATCATCTGCAGGATTAACAACTCTCATCATCACCCACTAACAGTGATACTCCTACATGTTTCTTAAAACTTGAGGTTTGATCTGAACCAAGAAAAGAAGCAGTTAGATTATTTTTGATTTAACATACCTGGGTCGAATCTTGGTGCAGCCCACTGCATTGCTAAATAAGCAACCAAAACACTCACAATCACAAACGTTAAAATTTTTCCCATTTTGCAAACCTGTTGCAAGTTCCAGGCAACTCTTTCACAAATCTCTCTGAGCTGCAGAAGCTTTCACAATCTTTCACACTTCTGAGCAGCCCATTATATAATAGGTCCCCCACCCTCCTCAAACCCGCTCCCCCCTCCTCCATTTCTCTATCTCTCTCTTTCTAGCTTAAACAATCACAACAGTATTTTGTTTGTTTTTTTCAACTTATTATATTAACAAATATTATTGAGAAATTTTAATAATCATTTTCTCCCGAAAAGGCAAATGTTACATTTGAAACCACTGAAGTTGATATTTCTAACGAATCTGCCGCGGAGAAATGCGGGACTATGCAGCACATCTGAGCAGCAGTACAGAGAGCAGGCAGCGCTGCGCGTGTCCTTCACTGCTCCTGGCTAGCTTGTGTGTTCTTGGGATTGTTTACCGAAACAGCAGATAAAGGGACAATACAAAGCCGGACGATGGCCGCACGGATTTGGCCTTTAGTGAAGTTAGTGCTTTTTAATTTTCCGGGAGGGTCTAATTTAAGGTTTGACGTTTTGATATGCTAAGTGGCCGAGTAACCACCTAGCTCGTCGAAGCTAACAGTTTCCAGTTATCTCTTTCCAAATGTACTGTGTTAAACAGCTCAGTATTTTATTGTTAGAATGGTGTTGTGACTATCTGTATATTTCGGGAACTTTGATTAAATGACAGAAATAGGCAAAGCTGTTATTATGGTTTATTGCACTGTTAGGCTACTGCCAAAGGGATAATCTCAATCAAAGTATTATAGTAGCAGCAATATTTGGTGTTCTTTGTGTTAAATATTTCATTATTACAAGTCTGCACATGTTCACTCACAGTATGGCTGCCTCCATTCCCCTATTGACAGGCTTGCCACCAAGGTGACCATTGCAGGGGGAGCGGTTTATGTTGCCTGTGACTCTGGTCTGCTGGGAAGCAGTGAACAAGGCTCAGAAGCCCTGGAGAAGGCCAAAGCTGTTGTCCCTCCGGCCTTACAAGAATGGATCAAGTATTTTGGTCTGGAGGTACTGAAGTTAACATTTCCCCTCGCTCAATACCTTATGGTTTTATTTAGAGACTTGGCATAGGTGGTGGTGTCAGGGTTGGTAGACAGGTCTTACAAAGTGAAACTTGAAAATCCTCTTAACATCATTCTATTTCTATGGCTGTAGGTCATTAAATAATTGCTCTGCATGTGTGCTACAGTGTTGTTTCTGCTGCTCAGTAGTAAATAATGATTCTTAAACCTACAAGAGCACAACAACCAACAATCAAAGATAACACTCTTTTAAAACTACATCAGGCATATTTAGGTTGACACGTTAATCACCCAAATGCATATTATATAAGAGTAGATCAATCTGTTTAAGCTTGTTTAACTTCCAGTGTTAATCTGATGAGCTGAATGACAAGAACGAATAATATCCTGCCAAGTAAACACTTGGAAAAATACCACTACTATACTTAATTTTGAAAATGTAGCAATATAGAATTATGTAACAATGAACAATAGAGGTATTTGTTAATTTTCTGTTTTAAGTTAAACCCATTATTACTGAATAATTTATGTATTTTAAGCAAAACTTTAAGTAAAAAAAAATAATAATAATATATACAGTGAACCCTCGTTTATCGCGGGGGTTGCGTTCCAAAAAGAACCGGCGATAGGCGAAATCCGGGAAGTAGAAACCTTAATATTTTTTACAGATATTATACTATGAAATACTCCATAAAACTGGTAGCTGTTTCATTTAAAATCAGCTGGCCATTTTAAGCATTCAGAAGAGGCTAATTGCATATTAAAGATTTCTTTGCCAACTTTGTCTTAGTGGCAAATAGGGAGTAACAGGAAAAACACTAGATCATTTTAGAATCTGTATGAGAAAATGTTTTTTAGCCAAATAATGTTTTACCCATACAATGAATTTGCTTTGGTAATAAGGTTCAACAAATAGACAGAAATACAGCTGATTATAATAATAGTAGATGCATATTAAATGTGAAATAATGAAATGCAACTTTTATAAAAAAAAACATTAACGCATGTACTGAAATTATCTCAACATTTTTAAAGGTACAGAGGTCACATTTAGCATGGTGGAGAAAGGACAAATTTAGTAGCAGTTTAAAGTAACTATGCCTTTAGTGCAACAAACCGGTAACCAGTCTGTGGAGGTCAACTTCAAAGGCTTGCTGCTCAGTTTGCTAACAGTAATTTGACTGTTATTTTGATAATAGTGGTGACCTATGCTCTTTAAGTTTCCATGCACCTGAACTTCCATACCAAGTCATTCCTGAAAGTTCTTTATTTTGTATTTTAAAAGGAACTGTTTAGATCTCAGGATACCTTGACCTATTTATTACGGTGACACCTTTTAAAATATATTTCTGCAAACTGTAATTGGCATAAATCAATTGATACACCTTCACCCACTGTTCAGTGTTGCATGAAATCTTCAATCTAACGTCAATTTTCATTTTGTCTGCCTTCAGGCTCAGCTTCCCACCATGCCTAAGATGGAGTTCTCCCCGGTCAACTCGTGGAATGCTGGTAAGAACAGGACGTCAGCTGTCACGAGTTGGTGCTTATGATTGTGCCTGTTAATGATCTAGTTTGCTCATTATAAAGCATTCAGTGATGCCTTAACAGATGAGGTTGCGATAAAACTGAGTGGTTAAAACCTTGTACTTGTTTCCTTTGTGTTGCAGGAGTGCGGTGGACAATATCTAGCCTTTCAGAGGCCCCGACAAAAGCGTCCGAGTATACAAGTCAGGGACTTCAATATGTAAAAGATCTTATCAAGTGAACAGGACCTCCTTGGATGACTTCACATTATTAGCGTTTGACTTTTGCACTTGAGAAATAACAGTACTCCAAAGTCATCATCCCCTTCCCTTAAGAGAAGATATGAAAAACAAATGCTGGGTGAAGAATTTCTGAATTTAACTTAAAAGTGGAATTTCATTGAAGTTGTAAATAAAGCAGGGAAACATAATATTTTTGAATATAAATGTTGGTCTATACAGCTTAAACTGTCTTCAATGTTTAGTGCAGTTGTATGCCCCTGTTCTCAATCTGTTCCACATATTGTATCAAAGAATATCTGATGTGTATATATCCAATTTCACCATTTGCTTGCAATAACACCAAATCTTAAAACTGCTTCTGTTTGAGCATTTTTTTTTTTTTGCAACTGTGAGAAAAGAACACCACAAAACAGATGTGCAAAACTTTTATTACAACAGAATGATGACAAAAACTTGTCATTTAGATTCTGCTACAACTTTAGAACCAGGGAAAAATTAAAGCAGAGTTACTCATGAGTTTGGTTTGCACAACAAACACTTAAGCACAGCCAACAGTAATGCATAGTGTTATGTATTTGAATTAAATGCAACAGAACTGATCCTAGCAGATATGGTCAGTCCCAACTTTAAAAATTTCAAACATCCAGGGACCATTCAGCGGATGCAACCAGAGTTTTGAACCGAAAGAAAAGTTAGCTCAAGGATACATAAGGCTTAGTAATGAGAATTTTAAGATTGGAAAAAAAAAAACTTTTTAGCAAGCATGTCTTTTAAGACTATAAGGCCCTTTAAAAACTGAAGTCAGATGCAGATTTATTTTTTTGCTCATAATCTTTCAACCAAAGCCAGAAAGTGAGCCAAGCATCTAAACCAATATATATATATATATTCTAGACAATTATACATAAATTTTACTGATTAAATACTGTCATCTGAAAATTCTGCAGCATTATCTTTTTCCTCTTTCCTTCATGCGTAATGTTTCTGTAGAACCTTTAATGGAAGTTATACCATACTTAAACCTCGTAAACTATACAATAAAGTGCTGCACACATCAACATAGAGATCACAATGGCAACAATAAAGCAGGTTACATTTGAATAGAAACTTTATAACAAATAGCTAAGATTCATCTTTGCAAACTGATGGATTACTCCTCTTAAACTGTTCTGTAACATAATGAAGTGGTTTCATGTAGCACTTTAAGAGGAATGGTAGGTACAATATTGCCAAATTGTGACTAGCAGAAGGCACTTTATGCATTACTGTGCGTTTAATTTGAAGATTTTAGCATTTTCCTTGCAACCGCAAAAGTGCAATATAAACGATTTTTAAAAGCACATTTAAAACTTTGTAGCACAAGTTTAACAAGAAAAGCCAGGCTTGACACATAAAGTAATATGCAGCCGATTAATACAGCACAACCATAAATGCTGCAATACTAGATTAAGAGTGCAAAGGTGCGAGAGAGCATTGGCATTTAGCAATATAGGGGTCAGATAAAGGTGACTGCAAGGTTTCTATCCGCTGATGCCTTTGAGTATCAGCAGGAAATGAAAGCTTGGATTTCAGACACTTTTTGTGTGACAAATTTAAGATCGACCTCTGGGGAAAAGTGAAACAATAAGACACCCTGTTCAACTTTCAAAGTCAGAGCCACTTATCAATGGCAACAAAGTAAATGTAATAACAGGACAAATCTTAAACTGAAATCTATACAAAAGATTGCCCAACCTTTAAAAGAATACAAAGCATAGCAGTGCTACTGTTCTGCTACGAATATTGCACCACTTTTTGAACAAATAAAGCATGTCAACTACTTAACCTAGCATGGCTTTGAAAAATAATTTAACAATGAACAGAACACAAACCGATGGAGAAGGGCCTTAAGACAGAGATTTAAGTGTCCGCTGTGTTTAGGGGGTTTTGACCAGATCATAGACATGAATATGAAAGTCATCATCATATTTGATATAGTACACTGAGGGCTTAGCTGGGACCTGGTAGATGACCAGGCCAGTTCTCTTCACGCCCTTATCGGTAACATACTCCACTTGTTTCCCCACCAGACTCTCGGTCTCTTCTCCCGGCTTTCTGTCGGCGGGCAACAGGTGCTTGTTTTCTGAAAGAGAGTGAAATATTACAACAGGCGCAGTAAATTCGCAGATAAGATCACAAACTTCCCTTTAAAATATTGTGGCATCTTAGGATGGTTTTTCAACATACTGTCCAAAGGTAGCATTTTGTCTTATCAGGTCAAAAGGAATATGAACATCTTGTACCAGTAGATAAAGTTTTTACCTGCTGTGTCAATACAAGGAATTCCAAGTACAAACATGACATTTCAAATAACAAGACTTGGACCTTTTCAGTTCATGTCTACTGGATTTAACATGGATGAAGTTGTAAATGACTCACTGACCAACTACTTTTTCATCCACTAGACAATTTGTCACTCATGTAAAATGCGTAACCACTATATAGTGCTCCATGTAGGGGTCAGGGCGGACGTTCGGACACAGCCACTGCCTTACAAAGTTTTTTTAAATCTGAGCTTTGCTTGGTCAGTGCTGTAAGGATCCTTTTTAATTCTGCTTTGTGAGGATCAAAATACTTTTAAAGTCAGTTTTTGATTATCTTTTTTTACTTTCAGCATGATCTGTTCTCATGTGACAGCTTAAACCCCTTGCTGTGGAGTATAACTAGAGATAACCTTTTGGATGAAACAAGTTTTAACAAGAGCACATCATTAAACAACAAAGAATTTGTCTGTGGTAAAATCAGCTCCTTGGAGGGCTGTTGATGTCGATCCTATTCGTTTCAGTTTTCTCTTAAACAGATCTGTTTTTGTTTGTGTACAGTCATATGAAAAAAGCTTGGGCACCCCTATAAGTCTTACGGTAATTATTTTTATTTCTAAATATGTGGGTGTTTGAAACAGCAGTTTGATGTATCTAATAACTGATGGATACACTAATATTGCAGTATTGAATTGAGGTTTATTGGACTGACAGAAAATGTGCAGTATGCATTAAAACAAAACTTGTCAGGTGCAAAAAATGTGGATACCCTAATCATTTCAATGATTTGAATACCCTTAACTACCTTTCACTGACTTACTGAAACACAAAATTGGTTTGGTAACTTCATTTACCCTTTATAGGACACTCAGTGAAATACTTTGAAAATTCAAATTTGAAGCCAATAGTGTTGGAATCCAGGACAAGATCATATTACCTTTGCAACATTCAAAAAATATGGATATTCTGATGGCAAAAAATAATGTCAATGTAATAACAGCAAACTTGCCCGAATATATTAAGAAAAATAACAAAAGTGTTTCAATAAGAAATGTATGAAAAACATTGAGAGTGAAAAAAACAAATGTTTTTTGTTACAAAACCTTAGAGGCATTAATGCTGATACTGGTACTTACATTTTCTGGTCTATAACTATTAATTTTTTGACTTTTCAATTAGTTTTTTACCTTTTTTTCTTAACTTGTTAACTTTTTTTTTTCCAACTTAATTGACAGTTTTTTATCTTTCAAGGGCTCATCTAATTGGTCAAATGCCAAAAGATGTACAGCGATGTAGCAGCATCTTTGCTGAATGGCTGGATATAGATCTTTTGCTTCTAGATCTCACCGAGGGATGGGGAAGACTCCATTTGTAAGGGGTAAAACAGTAACTTGTCCTATAAAGGGTTAAGATTTGAACTTAATAGCCAGGTGTATCCAATCATGAGAAAATGTATTTAAGGTGGCCAGTTGCAAGTTGTTCTCCTGTTAGATTCTCCTCTGAAGATTCATCATGGGCACCTCAAAACAACTCTCAAATGATCTGAAAACAAAGATTGTTCAACATAGTCGTTCAGGGGAAGGATCCAAAGAGTTGTCTCAGAGATTTAAATTGTCAGTTTCCACCGTGAGGAACATAGTAAAGAAACGGTAGACCACAGGAACAGTTCTGGTTAAGCCCAGAAGTGGCAGGCCAAGAAAAATATCAGGCAGAAAAGAAGAATGGTGAGAGTGGTCAAGGGCAACCCACAGACCACCTCCAAAGACCTGCAGCATCATCTTGCTGCAGATGGTGTCACTGTGCATCGTTCAACAATTCAGCGCACTTTGCACCAGGAGAAGCTGTATGGGAGAGTGAAACGACAGAAGCCTTTTCTGCAAGCTCACCACTAACCGAATCGCTTGAGGTATGCAAAAGCACATTTGGACAAGCCAGCTTAATTTTGGAATAAGGTCCTGTGGACTGATGAAACAAAGATTGAGTTGTTTGGTCATAAAAAAGGCGTTATCTATGGTGGCAAAAAAACACAGCCTTCCAAGAAAAGCACTTGCTACGCACTGTAAAATTTGGTGGAGGTTCCACCATGCTTTGCGGCTGCGTTGCTAATGCTGGCAATGGGAATCTTGTTAAAGTTGAGGGTCGCATGGATCCCACTCAATATCAGTAGATTCTTGAGAATAATGTTCAAGAATCGGTTACAAAGTTGAAGTTATGCCAGGGATGGATATTTCAGCAAGACAATGATCCAAAACACTGCTCCAAATCTACTCAGGCCTTCATGCAGAGGAACAATTACAATCTTCTGGAATGGCAATCCCAATCCCTAGACCTGAATATAACTGAACATCTATGGGATGATATGAAGCAGGCTGTCCATGCTTGGCAACCATCAAACATACCTGAACTGGAATTGTTTTGCAAAACAGAATGGTCAAAAATCCCTTCATCCAGGATCCAGGAACTCATTAAAAGCTACAGGAAAAGCTACAGGAAGCGACTAGAGGCTGTTATATCTACTAAATATTAATGTCTCTTTTTTGCCGAGGTGCCCATATTTTTTGCACCTGTCAATTTTTTTTTTTTTGATGCGTGCTGCACATTTTCTGTTAGTCCAATAAACTTCAATTCAATACTGAAATATGACTGTGTCCATCAGTTATTAGATATATCAAACTGAAAGGGCCGTTGCAAACACCCGGCTATTTAGAAATTAAAATAATAAAACATAAAATGAATAGGGATGCCCAAACGTTTTCATATGACTGTAAATAATTCAGGGTTGCTGATTAGAACTAAACTTTTTTTTTTTATGCTAAGGAACAGGAGGGTGGTGGGACATTGTGCTTTGAAAAATAAAGAGCATTGTGATGAAAAACTAGGTTAATTACAATTACATAGACTCACTGCAAGCTTTAATGTGAATACTGGATTTTCCAGTTTTCCTATTTTTTAGCCCGAGCTGAAAATACTGTAGTAGTTGGTGAGAAGAGAATTAAACATACCAAGCTAGTAATTGAAATGTGCAAATAAAGGTAACATTAGGAGACCATAGTTTTTAGCTAGATTAATGCAAAAAAGTCATGTTTTTCAAAGTCCATCTATCGAGATGAATACTTCCCTTGTTTGGACCTGCACAGACAGACTAAATCCCCAATAGAATCTGAATGCTGGTTGCAAATGAAGCAGAGGCACAGTCAAATTCAACTAACCCTGTTAATGCCCTGAAGGATTTCCTGCAGTATCAAGACTTTTGTGTCACGCCCTCATCTTTCTAAATATTTGCTGTCTAATATGGTTAAATGGTGGGTAAGCCGATTCAGATAGATAAAGCAAATGTCGCAAATTCCCCTGTTACCCAGTCAGGACCCCACATTTGACAGGGCCATTCAATGTGCCTCAGTCTCAATGCAAATGGATAATCCATTATCAAAGCATGCAAACTGAAGCTGCATGCTCATTTAGCGGAAATCACCAGATATTCAATCAGTCTTTTTGTTTTCATTACTCAAACTTCAAATATAAGAAATATATACTTCTGTGCTGTGACAAATATGTATGCCAATTTCTGATTATAAAAAATTAGACCAACTTAAGTATTGGTAACATCTGCTGAGCTTGTTGCTCTTTTCATTTTAGAAGCACAGAGAAAGTGACGAAATAACATTACATCTGAACATAAATCAGCTTTTATTTCAAACAACTTGGGAGTACCTGCTTCAGGCAGAATCCTGAGGTCTCCATCTGCGTAGTCATCCCACAGCTGGTACATATATAGAACTGGGTCCTTTTCATAAGTAATATAATACCAGTTTGTCATGACTGGAGCTCGGGATAGGACCATCCCTCTCCACTCATTCTTCTCTCCATCTTCCTTTTCAAACAAATGCTCAACTGCTTTGCCGACAAGTTCCTCCACCCCTGCTGGGATCTTCACTTTGTTGTTTACTGTAGAGAGACGTATAGATGGGTTGCACCAAATGAATTACGTCCACAGTAGACCTTTTGATAGTGCAGGCGTGGACTCACCAATATTCTCCGACAGGACTTGCAGGTTGGACACTCTCTCATCCTTGAACAGCTCAATGCCATAGACGCAGTCAAAGCCGTCATACTTCACCATGAAGAGGGAGGGATTCACGCTGAGTCTGTCCAGCACCGTTCCCTTCCATTTGCTTTGGTTCCCTTTCTCTCGCCAGTAATGCTGAATGCGTAATCCCAGGATGCAGTTCGGGTCCGGGGTTACACCATCACTCAGTTCCCCGCTGCTCCGCTTTCTGAGAAAAAAACATGGAGAGTTAAGTCTTTGACATGCAGACAAGCATTCACGACAATCGGGTAAAAATTGGACGGCTACTATTCATTCATCCTGTCCACTGAACAGCAGCTAGTTTTACTCACATCCCTGGAAGATGTCTAGTGCTGCTACCACAGATGATCTCACTCTTGAAATGGAATTGAACGATTCAGATTAGCTAGCCGAATGAATTGAAGGGGTAGAGTAGCTGCCTGTGGCCCGGGCTGCCTGTCACAACTCCAGTCCAGCGCACGGATGACATCATACACACTCCGCTTTGTTTTAAAAAAATATAAATATTAAATATCTTTGCCTGCATATTATAAATGCTGACATACCATATATAACTAATTATGAACAGTTTAATTTGTGCCTTGAACTCGTTGCCCAAAGGAAGACGTTACATGGATTACAAAACCGAATATCTTCAGCAGAGCTCCAAATGACACAAAGCTAATATGGGTGAGTAGAACATGATGTAATAACGTAAAATCAAGGGGCCAATGTGAAAAAACTGGTGTTCCACTTTGAACACATTAGAGCTTGTTAATAAAAGGTTAACATTTTATAGTGAGCTCTATTGGTTAGTGAGCATTTGATGCTCTGCCTCTGTTTCATTGCTGCATTCTAATATCATGGGAGGGAGTGGCGGCCTAGTGGTTAGGGCATAGTGCTTTGAATCCTGAGATTGTGAGTTCGATCCCCCACTGCCACTCTGGCTCCCTGAGCAAGACCCCAATGGGATGGGTTAAATGCAGAGAATTCATTTCGTTGCTCTGTACTTGTGACAGTGTAATGACAATAACATTAAATTATAATTATTAATTATAATACATTTGGCATTAAGTTTCCAGCCTCTAAAGTTGAGAGGAGAGGGGAAAGCATATATAGTCAAGTTTTTCCTGACATAACATTCTGAATACGCTCAGCCTCTGTTAAAATCCCTAAAATGGCAGTAAAATCTGCCTAAAGTACACACACAGTAAAAAGTTTTACCCTCCTTTTATTCCTGCTTTTCATACACAACACCTGTTATGAAAAATGGCTTCTTTGTGCACTTAAAACATAGCATAGTCTCAACATTTACTGATGTGATGACTCTTCTTCGTTTTAATGGGCATGCAGGTAAGTTTAGAGCCGCAAACTATTCACAATAAGGTCAGATACTGGCCACATTTTAACTGTCATAGAAACATCCATACAAATTCTTGCAATGAATCAGATTTGAGCATAAAGACCTGCAGTCTCTTTGCCTAGAACCTCAGTAGACTTTGATATCTGCAAAAGGCCCTAACCTAATATCTTCAAATCTGGTAAAGCCAAAGTAGAAAAAAAAAAGCTGATTTTTGGCTTGTATTTTACAACTTCACAAAGTGAAGCACAAATGTGCCTTCCAACACACTAGTCCCATTCATTTAATCCCACTCAGATTCATACATTCATTGGTAAGCAGTTTAGTTTTAGATACCTTGTCACTTATTGATTCAAAAATATTCTTAAGGTAATATTCTAATAACATAACTTAAGCTGCTGCCCCCGCGACCCGACCCCCGGATAAGCGGAGGAAGATGGATGGATGGATGGATATATATATATATATATATATATATATATACACGCTTTACTTTTACGTACCTGCCCCTTTTCTTGGACATGCCTTGAGAAGTCAAAGGTTACTATTTGGAGAAGAAAAGAGAAGACAGTTTAGTTTTATTTTACAAGAACAGTAGCAGTATTTAACAGTCAAGTAAGGAACACAGTTTTTATTGTTAAAAACACTTCACAGTAAAGTATTTCATTTTTTAACTCTTGACTAATATGTTATTCTTTTACTCTTTTCCAAGGTCCATATTTGTGTGTCCATTTTTTTTCTATAATCCATTTGCTGCTGTAAACAGGAGAATTTCTCCATTGTGGGCCAAATAAAGGGATTTTCTATTCTATTCCAGACAAACCATGCAAAAAATACATTTTAAATTATAATACAAAAAAAGAGAAGAAAAAAACTTGACGTGTTGCAGTATATTTAGCAGGCTTATAACCCCAGCAGCCAACGACTGTTTCATGGAGCAACTTCCTGACATAGCTATGGAGGTCACTGCTAAAGATGAGGTCGTGCGTCAGTATTGCTAGATGACATGCCTTGGGGTGAAAAAATGTTTACGGTAAAATATCAAAAACATGTAACTATGGGACAAGGAATTCTGAAAAATACCACTTGTAAAGAGACTTGGGGTAGCTGACATTCCTCCTGAGCTTAGCGCGACTGTCTGTCTGGATGGTCGGTATCAATGCAGATGTTAGTGAAGGTAAGCGAAGGCATTCAGTCAGCCATGACTATCTGCTTACCGGGTCTCACTGACAAGCTAACAAGCTGTCGTAACAAATGAGTGTTTATAACAGCGGTATTCTAAGTGTGTTACACAGTTTAATTACCTTCAAGCAGATTTCATGACAGTACCGTTCGGTTTGTACGGCAGTTAAATGTTGCCACAAGTCAACCCGCCCGTCTAAATCTCGCGAAACCTAAAGGAGATTTTTGACTTAGCTCTGGCTGGTTGGTCGAAGGGGGAGGAGACTGTAGCACAAAGTTACCATGACGCCAGACAAGGACGTAAGAAATAGCGCAAGGAATTATGGGTATTGACGTTTTTAGATGCAGACGCTTTACTGACACTTTTACACAAAAACATAGGCGATTATATATATATATATATATATATATATATATATATATATA